CCCCAAACCCCCAAAACCCCAAAACCCCAAAACCCCGCAAGGCTTGCATAAAATAGAACCATTTATTTTAATTCTTCCAAATTTGGTAATCCTGGTCCTCACGATGAGGCTTGTTGATATTCTGAGGATTTTTCCAGTCGATGACTCTTTCCTTCTCAAGTTTTATCCCATTCTACATTGATTAACCTCGGCTTACCTTTGAATTCCAAATTCCGAAATTTTTCTTAATCTCAGATTGAGTGGCAAAACCAGCAATACTGAGGTCAGGCATCCAATAGAATTTTTTGCAAGTTTTGGGAATTTTCTTTAGTCTTTCACCGTGCTCATGAACCTTCTTCTCCATTTCTTTCAGATAATTCCTCTGCAAAATCTGGTTTAAATACTTTGGGCTAGGTCTCTCGTTTGATTTCGAAGAGTTCCTGTCTAAAAATAGCTTTAAAGATACCTGAAAATGACTTCAAACTCGGATTAAGATCCCGTAAGTTATTCCTATGATAAGGACTCTTTGAGCTGAGCTTGTACTTAATGCTTGATTTGGCTGCTTTACGGACGGATTTCCTGAGGACTGTGCCTTCAGACTAAAATACTTACAGGCATTATCTTTAAACTCCATCATCTTGGTTAACTTGGCTTTATTATCTTCCAAAACACTCTTTGTGTTTGTCCTCAGAGTGAAAGATTTTGAATTCAGATTCCTAAAATTAGACTGAGTAGCTGACTTGGAAGAGTCAAGAGTGCCAGTGATAGACATTTTGCTATCTGCTTTTGTCCTTCTTGAGTTATGGGGGGCTGCTCTTCTGGTGATAGGTCCAATTCCATAATCAATTGAAATGTCTCCTCCCTGCAAGGATAATTTCTTCTTTTTCAAAGAGATTTTTGAATTTTTGTACCTAAATTTTCAAAATGAAATCAGAATTTTAAAACAAAAGCTTTGTCACAATGCTTTGCAAAAAAGATATCAGGAAGAATAAGAAATAATATGAAATTTTAGAAGTTTAAATTCTGAATAATTTCATAAATAGCTCAACCTGTACAAAACATAATAAGAACTTGATTAAAGCAAGCTCAGTGACACTTCTAGAACTAATATTTTCTATACAATGTACAGCTTCTGGAGATGTGTATTTGCATAGTGATTTTCAGATTCACAATAATGTTTATTAAATTTACCTTTTCAAAATCCTACTCGGACTGATAGATTCGCTTAACCCAATCCTATTATTGATCAAATTAGAAATTACTTGGTCTTATTGTCTATTTCTTGTTCTAACTGATGCAGTCCTATAGTGGTTAACCTCCCAAATTCTTACCGGTTTTATAAACGTTCTGGATCAAGTCGAAATTTTTACTATGAATACTCTGATTTCTTGCTTTAAATCTATATAAAATAAAACTATTTATACTCCAAAAGGACTAAAATAAGGTTAAAATTTGCTAAAAAGTGACTGAAAAGGCTCTAAATTGATTTCTTTAACGATTTGAGGGATTTTCAGAATCTAATTAATTCATACTTAATTTCAAAAATAAACTACCTTGCAACAGTTGGAGCCAAGCTGGTCTTGGAATCTGGCTGAAACTTGAAAGGGATATTAGTACTCATATTATGTTTTTTTAGCACAGATGATGAGATTTCCTTGGCTTTAAATTGGCTAAAAGTCATTCCATGACCAACCTTGACTTAATCAAATGATTAAAAACTGAACTTGGTCCATATTTTAATTTATTTAGACTTGTTTGTCAAAGTAACTGGCTTCTTATGAATTATATTTTGGTAATCTTGATCGAACTGGCTGTCTAGTTGCATTTCAGGAAATCTCAAGTCATTTACACCCATCTTTCCAGTCACATGAATGGGTATATTCTTAAACTCTACATTTGGCTGATCCCCAAACTCATCATTCTCGATTAAAAAAGACATATTTTATAATTTAATGGGGTTTTGGGGTTTTGGGGTTTTGGGGTTTTGGGG